CATTATGGGTTATCTCATTCATCTTACTCACTGGACCTCCTATCATAGGGTTGCTGGCTTTTCCTCAACCATGAGAAGCAGACACTTTGGATTGGTTCAGGACACTGAGATGATGACAACTGCTCAACTGAAGATACAAGAAAAGTTCTTCGAGGAGTTTCAGAGGGTGGAGTAATGGCAGTGTGTCTTTTACTGTAATCCTTTCTTAAAAAAATTTAAACATTCACCATATATTTTGATCACACCTCAGAGTTGCTATCCTTGGCCCATTTTGTAGATGAGAAAACAGAGGCTACAAAAGAGGAGCATTTGTCCATTGTCACTTGTTCTAGTTATCTACTGCAGCAAAATTGGTACTCAAAGTGTAAGTGCACAAACCATCCTGCTATGCTCAGGAGTGTGTGCGTCAGGACTCAGACAATGAGTAATGTGGTGGCTGCTCTTTGGTCCATAGTAACTGAAGCCTCAGTTAGTTTGGCTGCTCGAATGGATGGAAGATTCTGAGACAACTGGTCTAGGTGTTTGGTTCTGCCTGTCTGCTAGGTTTCTTGGTTCTTCCTCGTATCCTGTTACTGGCCTGGAATGTTCAAGTTCATACATTTCTTTCTTTGTTTCTTTTTCTTTTTTTTTTTTTTGTACTGGGGTTTGAACTCTGGGCCTTCACACTAAGCTACATCCCCAGTCCTTTTGATTTTGAAATAAGATCTCACTAAATTGCCTAGGCTGGACTCAAACTTGCAACCCTTCTGCCTCAGCTTCCCAGAAAGCTCGAATTATAAGCTTTGCCTCCACACCTGTCCATACACATATTTTCCACTCACATGTAATGGAACTGGCTGTACCTCACTCTCTGTCCCTTACATGTTCTGCTCCCTCATAGTGTGGTGGTTTCAGAGCAATTGGACATCCTGCATGGAGCTGGTATCCCCCCAGGATGGAGGCTGCTAAAGTCTACAAAGTTTTTTATTGGTCATTTTCATGTCTGCCACATTCTATTTATCAGATCGCTCAGAATGGACCACATTTGAAGGGGAGAGTGTAGCAAAGAAATTCAACCATCTTTCATCTACCACACCTAGATTCAGTAAGAGGCAGAATGGGGACTTGGAGTTTAGATTTGTTTTACTTCCTCAATTACTTCATCTCTACCAGCATCCTGTGTGTGATGACCACAGGGTTCCTCATTATGAGCAGGACACTTGGTCACCATGTAAGTAGGCACTTGCAAGAGGGTCAGGAGATGCTCCCATGATGTGTCAGGGTGGGACAATAAGAAGGGCCAGTGCCAATGTCCTGCTGGGTAAAAGGGACACCAATGTCATCCCTCCTGCTGCAGGAGGTCTGTCTGGGGCTTGAGGGGAGAGCAGTATTTCATAGCGTAAGGGAAAATGCTAATGACCAATGCTAATGAGAGAGAGGAAACAAGGAGAGAGGGAGTCAGTGTGTAAAGTAGAAATACAGAGGAATAAAGTGGAAGGGCCAAGTCTTTCCTTCTATTCTCCCCCAGAAAGGATGGAGACAATTCATAAGCCTGTTCTCTAAAGAGAGGAAAGCAAGGACCTAGTTCTCTGGAGCCTTGCTCTACCAGCCAGACTTGTGGTCAGCAGCACCTCTAGTCTCAGAGGAGTTAAGAAAGCTCACCTAAGGAGCTCATTTATTTTGTTTCTCCTGCCTTTTATCTTTTGGGGACAGTTATGGAATTCATTGGAGAATTGAGTATTATTGTTAAAAAAATCTGACTAAAGTACTTGATTCGTGGTCCTTTTGGGGGGGCAGTTCTTTATAACTTGTTCAGGTTTATGATCTGGATTTCAGAAGGGCACCTTTCTAATTTCCAAGAGCAGTATTTTCATCCAGCCAAACACTCTGCTTTCAGAAGATCCACTTTTCTCCCAACACATGATTGCTTTTTTTTTTTTAACACTTTAGTGACCTACAGAGGAGAGGATGTAATAAAATATCTGTTACGTTTTGTAGTCTGCCTCTTGGCAGCCAATCCCTTTTTTTGGTACTAACAGATCTACAGTTTTGGTTAGAATAAATGTGCCTGTGTTCCAGGCATGAACCGTGATTAGTGGTAGCCAGTCATGATAGTACCATATTCTTGGCCAGAGACTGAGATAGAGGTGAACATGAGTCTTCCTAGTCTTTCTCAAAGAAATGTCATAGGAAGTCAGCTGGCATTTTTGTGGTAAAATTTTCATAATGAAATAAAGCAGCACAGAAAGAAGACGCTCCACCTCCAACCTGTCCATTTTGAACAATATTATGTGAGAATCTGATTATTTGGGTTTCTGCAGTCATCTTGTAACCATGAGGAGGAAAGACGCCTGCCTTAGAGAATTGCCATTGTTGATGAACAGAATGACATCTGACGCTGTTTGCCTTTAGACTTCTGATTTTCAAGATATTGGTAGTTGGGTATTCTATTACTTGAAATAGAAATCTCCCTGCATGTATGTTGTAACACTGGGTTGAACAATTCAACATTTGAAGCCTGGCCTGCATTAAAAAAAGAATAGTGTAGAGCTTCCTGGCTTTGCTACTGGCAAAGTAGTAGCTTCTTAATTCTAAACCCAAGACTTTTTTCCTGGTATACTTAGGCTCTGTGTTTGTGTGTGTGTGTGTGTGTGTGTGTGTGTGTGTGTGTGTGTGTGTAGAAGGGGGGGAGAGAGAGAGAGAGAGAGAGAATAAAGGGAGCTATTTTGGGTAAAACCTTCTGTCTCAGAGGGAGAAATCATGTTTTCTTTTTTTCCCCTTATAACTTGAAGCATGAACAATAGTCTTATAAGCTTGGTACAGCTTTAAGGGACCTATTCTAAACCAGGGTCCTCTTTGAAGAGACATCCACTATAATACCTTATTTTCCCTACAAATAGATTTATGTGGTGGCTTTCTGTGGTGTTAGGATTTTAAAATCCAACAATTAAAGGTCAGTCAGCTTTCATTGTACTATGACACATTTGCCCGAAATGCTTTCTAACTTAATGATCATAGATTTGTATCCTCTCATCTGCACAGTTGGACTTCAAGCCCTTGTGAGCCATAAAGGACACCATTTAAGCTTGGTTAGTAGAGGGTGCTGGGAAGCTATTCCAGGAGGAAGGGCACATCTTTCTGGTTCCACAGCTGCAGTTTTGCTTTTTCCCTGATTTGACTACACTGTCAGCCAGGAATGTGGGTGTGTGGGGCCATCTGGTGGTTCTGTGCCCTAGTCTTGTACCAAGAGCACATAGACTCTTGGCGACCTTGCATCTGGCCTGGCCCATTTACCACTCTTCTAGAGCCCTCCAGGTAGAGATACCCACTCTCCCTGCCCCACCATGTCTTACATTATTTTTCTGTGAATGGACTCCAGGCACATCAGTGCCCTTTGTGCTCATGGCACAAAGCCTGAACCTGGAACACTGCTTCCCACTTGCTAAGTGACTGTGGACCAGCTCTGGGTGAAGCACCTGGGAAACCTATCATCTAAACAGTTATAACCCTGTCTCATATGTGTCCCGAACCTCAGCCCTTTCTGCGTCCTCTTAGATTTCCCATTACATATTTATGGTTACTCTCATACCTTAACTTCACCATTCTTTATTATAAATTTCTTCTCATCCTGCTCCGGAGGCAGTTGATCTTCTCAACATCTTCCCATTTCTCATTTCTTTCAGGCCCTTGATTAGACCCAGTGAGTTGCATTGAGTTGCAGTGTTAAGTACATTTAGTGTTACTACAACACTAAGTTGTTTTCTCTCTCCGCCTTTCTCTCTTTCTCTTTCTCTTTCTTTCTCTTTCTCTCTTTCATACCAGGGGTTGAACTCGCAAGGCAGGCAGTGGAACCTCTGAGCTAAATCCCCAGCCCAGGTTGGTGTCTCTTAAAATCAAAGAATGAAGTCACAGAGAGGGGAAGCAAGTTGCAAATAAGAAAGTTTATCGAGAAAGCAAACAAAGGAAAAGCTCCCACTAAGTAGAAGGGTTCCCGAACACATTGTCAATGTGTGTTATTTGTCTAGAAGTTTTTTTATGAAGCAGAGTAGAGGATTTCGCTCAGCATCAGGTGGGTACCTATCACAGATAGCCCCAGATCAACTAGGGCTCAGGTTTCCTAATGCAGAGCCCAAAAGTCCAGTGGCTCAGTTTTCCTGAATTTCTCAAAAATCAGCCCAGACTCGGGGATATGTTGTTGACTCAGACCATTGTAACTCTGTTTGCATAATTCCTTCCCAAACTGCCTGCTTGTATCCTGACTCCTATCACTGGATAAGACTTGGATGATGAATGTTAGCATGATAAGCCACCTGATGGGGAAAAGCTTATCACTTCTAGGTAAATTTCCTTAGGAGAAAGCAGGGAATATTTCTAGTTGCATTGAGAGAGCTAGTGGTGGAGAGTGAAACACAAGAGCCAAGGGGCATTAGGAGAGGGGAATTGCTGCTAATTTCTCCAAGGGCCAATTAAGGTACTGCCAAGGATGGGCCGCATAGAGGGCTGTTTCTCCAAGTGTGATTTCCTGGCCACTTGCCTGGGACTTGCCAGTGTAGCTGGATTAAATGCTAAAAATGCTGTAAACTTAAATCATCAGTTTTGAGGGTGTGCTCTTGAAATCTTTTGTAAAAATTCTCCTAAGAGTTTTTTAAATTCTTAAATGATTGATTCTTAAATGTATGAAGAGCAGGCAACCCATCTACTTTGGGGGATGTGCCTGACCTAAGGCCCTTGCAAAGCATGAGATAGCAGCTGGAGAGGCTTCTGAAATGTCATCTCTGCTCCTCCTTCCCTCATATGGCCAGTGCCTTGGGGATATGGTTTTACAAGTAGGTATGGGAGTTCCCATGCCCGCAATTAAAGACAGTTCTGTGAAGATGATTAAGACTCTGAGGCAAGACAGATTTATTTGGGAAGAAAACACTGAGGAGGAAAGCTCATTTCTTGCTGGATCTGCAGAACTTCACTGGAGCAAGCTAAAGCAAAGGCTGTTTGCCTGAGATTTGAGATTCAGGAGACTGTGGTGCTGAATCAGGCTTGCAGATTGTCTCATGCTGGTGCCATAGGTGTAGAGAAGTGTGAACACATGAGAACAGGCACGAGCTAAAGAGAAACATGGGGAAATTCAAGGGAAAAGAGTGCCAGTGATTTCCCGGGCCCCACTTGACTGTGACAAGGCACTGCTCGGGGCTGACCTGATGCGCTGTGCCAAGTGCTGTCTAGGTGAGCACTGGTACTGGGCCCTGTTAGCACCTGGCCACAGCCCCATCAATATTCCACTACCCACCCAGGCTACACTGCAAATGCCCAGGCCCTGCCAGGGTGCTTCCATCTGTATTCAGGAGTAGGTCTGGATTGGTCCAAGAGAGAGCTGCCAGCCAGGAGGCTAATGGCTTGGGATGCACCCTTCAACCAGGATTTCCAAATACCTGATGGGATGCTCATCATAGGGATTTGGGATGAGAACTCAGAATTCCCTTGCAGAATCTGTAGAAATTCCTAAAATCATAAAATATTCTATTTCACAGTTGTATTTATAAATGAAAATTAGTATTCAGTATCTTAGAAATATTTTTAAAAAGCATGGCAGTATTTACAAATAATTATAGCAATGATGAAAAATAATGGAGCAAGTTATGGAGTGGTGCTTTTATAACATAATATTCAGAACCCTGCTAGGTCCTGAATACAGTAGTACACAGAGCTGGGTGTGGTGGCTCCTGCTTGGGATCCCAAGATTTATGGGGCTGAGACAGGAGGATCTCTGCAAGTTTGAGGTGAGGCTTGGCTACATAGTAAGTTCAAGGCAGCCTGGAATACACTGCAAGATCCTGTTACCAACAACCAACCCCCTTACAAAGCAAGCAAACCAACCAACCTAAAAAACAGTACTAAACAGAATCATGCAGAAATGATTAAAGACTTATTTAATAACTTCCTAAACTTGTTATTTCTTGGCACACCAACAAACTCATAAGATTTGTATAAGGTATTGTGATGATTCTTTTTGGGTCTCAGCCTGACTGAGAATTTCCTAGAGAACTGGAAAAGTATGCTTCTGGGAGTGTCTGTGAGGTTCTTTTCAGAGAAGACTGGCATGTGGGTAAGACTCGCCCTAAATGTGAACAGCGCTGACCAATGGACTGGGGTCCCCGCTGGAACAAAAAAGTGGGAGAGGAAGCTTGCTTACCTCCAGTTTGACTCTTCTCAGCAGGTGCAGTTTTCTGCTGCTGTCACTTGCAGACATCAGACTGTAGGTTCCTTAGCCTTTGAACATGGACTTGTACCTGTGGCTCTCCTGGGAGCTTGCAGACCTTTGGCCTCAGCTTCGGGCTGCATCACTGGCTTCTCTGTCATTCTAAGGCTTCTTCCTATTTGAACTGAGCATCTGCTACCAGTTTCCCTGGCTCTCCAGGCCACAGACAGCCACTGTGTGACTTCACAGCCTCTGATTGTGTGAGCTAATCTAATAAATCCCTACTTATGAATGCACAAGCTTATCACTACTCACTGTACTTGGAAGAATGGCACTAGGAGCCGATAAAACCAGGAATATGCCCTTGTCACGTGGCTATGCAACCAGCAAGATACATTGTTCAGGTTGTGTTGTTTCTCTGCTACACATTCCTGACCTCCTCCCTGGGAAGGTCAACCTTGCTCTTGACTTTGCATACCAGCCTTCCTTGCTGTTGCTTTTGACCTCACTCAGTGATGTCTTTACATTGGTTCTTGACATTTATAAGGCTTTTCCCCATTTTCCTGAATTCTCACGTGATTTTGCTTAAAAGTTTGATGTAATATATATAAATTTCTTCAAAAATTCTGAAAGGGAATTCTCACATGGAAATACTACCTTATACCGATGATGAACAGGGGTTTGATGTGTAGATGTTAATGTCCTTTATCATAAATTTGGGGTGATTCTTATGCATTTTATTGACTTGCTGTCTCTCAGAACTCTCCAGTGGGACTGACTTCCAATTGCCAAGAGTAGAAACTGACATGATAGCACAGTCTTCAATGGTTCCCTGCCTTTTCTGTCTTATTTCAACATTCCCTATGAATCTTTCATTAGGGTGGAATATTTGGGGGACTGCAGTGGTACGAATTATGTGTTCTTCTAAAAGTCGTATGTTTGGAGAAGGTGTCATTGCAGAATTAATGAAGATAAATGAGATCATTAAAGTAGACCCTACTCCTGCAGAAGTTTGGACATAGAATAACATGGAAGAAGTACTATGTGAAGACACAAGGAGAAGACAGCTATTTACCAGCCAAAGAGGGAGACCTCCGAAGAAATCAGTCCTGCCAATACCTTAACTGTGGACTTCTAGCCTCCAGAACTGTGAGAGAATAAATTTCTGTGTATAAACTACCCAATTTGAGACAACCTCAGCAAATGAATACAAGTTTATCTCCCAATAAACTACTTACTCTTGATTCTTTGTCTTCTAATCTTTTTAAGTAGGGTCCACGGCAAGAAGACAGAGCTTTCTTTAAGCCTCACAACTTTAAAAGTCAGCCTTTGTTATCTTTGTTAACATGTGAGGTCAGGGATTTAGCTCAGTGGTTCCAGTGCCTGCCTCTTAAGCACAAGGGCCTGAGTTTGATCCCAGGTACAAAAAAAAAAAAAAAAAAAAAAAAAAAAAAAAAAAAGAATATAAACATGTGAAAAGGTGACTATCAGAAAGATAGAGGTCAAAGAAATATTGAAATTGGTTTTGTCTAAACCCAAGACCCTTGCTTTTTTAAACACAGCCCCATTATCAAGCCTGAAGGCGACTTCTCTGGTTGTCTCATTCACCAGCACTTCTTAGTCCATCTGTTTAGATTTTTAAACCATGGCTGGACCTGGCAGAACTTTAGCCTGGGGATGGCTCTTTTGCTGACGTCTATGTGGAGCAGGTAGGCGTTGGTGTTGTATTCTAGAGAGGGCATGTTTGGAGTGGCAGTGCCTTTTGACAGACACAACTTTAAGACGAGGAGGCAGATGAGAAGAGTTTTTAAATTCCACCATTTATGCTTCACTCTTGGCAAGTATCAAAGTCCTTCAAAAGACAACAAAGTATACAAATTTAAAAAGCAACAAAATATTAGGAGACTAACACTTGAGGCAAAGGAACTGGACCTTCACCATGTGAAAGGGCTGTAGATATATTGCCATCCTGAACCAAGAGTGGACGCAAGCAAGCGAGCCCTGGAGAATTCACGGGAGAAAGGGAAACAGGGATGGGGGATTCTGGGGGCCTATAGAGTGGCTTGAACCAAGCAGAGTGTCTTTATGATGAAAAGGAAGCTGGAAACAGGCTGTTCGGGGAGGAGGCTTACATTCCCAGCATCCTAATGTTTCTGGACCTGGAAGATTTATCCTGGGTAAATGGCTGGTGGTGCTTAGAGACAGATGTGGCCTTCCTTCAGCAGTGCAGCCAGATCATCTGTTTTGCTTTCCTCATAAACGTGTCTCTCTGAATGTCGACAGGGAGAGATTTGGAAATAATAATAAAAAAACATTATCCATTGGGCACAAAAGGCTTAATTTATCACCAGCCTTTTCACCAAATGAAAATGATTTGCTCTTTTTTTCAAAGACTGCTGAACAAATGTTTCAAAAAATGCAGTATATTATTACAATTGTACCCACTTTAAAAATTCACCCATGGACAGACAGGTATTCTGAAAGTGTTTTTATTTTTTTTTTCTCAATGAGTTTATTGGTACATTTTAGGTATACAGTACAGTTACATTCATCATTGGGATCTTGTACCTTTACATGACAGGTCTTGGTCTAATTTTTTCCCCTTACCCCTGCCCTCTCTTCCCTATTTACAAACACTTTATTTCCATTTATTCATTTTCTCATATTTTTTTCTTTTCCCTTATTTCCTTTCCTCTATCCTTCCCACTTCCACTACACTTTTAGCCCTTTTCTTCCTATTTCACATTATCAATTATACCATTAGGATCCTATTTACAATTATAGTTTTTCACACCAGAGAAACTATTCGGTATTTACGCATATGTGACTTCTCTGAAGATGAAATCTGGAAAGAGTTCCATAGAGTTGGTCTGTTTAGGGAAAGGCATGGGCTGTTTAACTTGCTTAGCTGCTGCCTTTTGGAGCTGGGCCTGAGGTGAACTATTTGGTGGGCTCTATGGGTTGCAGCGAAATACTTTTGTACAGACAGCGGGGAAGATGCTGGTGTTCTTGTCCACCTCACACAGCCCATACTCTATCAGGATGTGGAAGAGAAACACCTCTCAGATCCCAGCATCAACAAAACCAGCCATCATCTTGAGAATTAGGATATTTTTGTCCTATGAATTCTAGGACTCTCAGTAAGGACTGTATTTCCTTCTTGTCACTGGGAACCTTAGATATGTAACACTGGTGTAAATTTTGGGTGCTAAGTGTCAGTTTGTTTTATTCCTCTTTCTTTCATCTCCCTGTAGCTGTCATCTGACTCTGTTTTTATCTCATTGTTGGGATACTCTAGGCTTCATCACATTGCTTTAGACTAAGGTGTGGTCATGGATGCTGTTGTGTTGCCTGAATCTCCATTCCAGACTAAGTTGCTCACTGCCCAGAGGCCATGAGTACAGCCTGCAGACCACTGAGAGATGACCCTCTGCAGGAGTCATCCTGTCTTTTCCTAAGCATCACCCAAGGCAGGCCAACCCCCTCCCTGGGGCAGTTTGCAGCTAAGGACTGGCAACTTTGTTTCTCTTCAGGACAACTTAGTCTCTGAGCTCTTTGGGAGATACTCTGAGAACTCTTGCACCTGCCCAGCAGCCTCTGACCCAAAGCCTTTGTACCTGATTCTCCATCTCAAAGTGTGTTTCCTGGGAAAATTGACAAGTAGCAATTAGTGTCAACAGTGGGCTAACAAAAGAGGTTCTAAATGGGGCTTTAGATGTGGAGCCACAGTATTCAGCTGGTAGTGAAACCTTATCTCTGGAGGTGAGTGGAGTTCTGACTATGCTGGGCATAGGTAATGCACTGTTAGACTTCTCACAGAAGGGCTGCGCTGGAAATCCAGAGAAAGGGAACACATGAAGGACGCAGTATCTGAAGCATTTGCAGTCTGGTAAAGTTTAAAAGTCACTAATCAAAAGGACTATAGATTAGATGGCTGTTGATGGGGCTATAAATGCATTGGAGAAAGACAATGAAAGCCTGAGGTTGCTTAATAACCAGTTTAAGGCAAAGAGTGAAAATAACAGGGTTTCCTTGGAAACTTTAAAATTTTATTTTATTTTTATTTTTGCAGTCCTAATGATTGAACCCAAGGCCGTGTGTATGCCAGGTGAGCCCTCTACCATTTAGTGCTATCCCTAGCCTGGCAGCTTTCAAAGAAATTTATGTGCTCCAGAAAGAGTACAGAAAAAGCCTAAAATTAGTCTGGAATTTAATTATGAGAGTAGGAATCTAGTGAGAAGACAAGTATGCAGATAGCAGGGTTCCCGTTATTTGAGGTATGGGTCATCAAGATTGGTGAGGACATCTGGACTGATGCACTCAAAATCCCAGATTTCCAGATGATCCTGAATTCTCTGCGCCTGTGATGTGGATGTTGTCTTTACTGTTAAAGACTAATACCCTTCGTTTTCTTACGGATGGTTCAGTGGCCTCTGTCTTGCAATACAAAATCTTTCTCCTCCCCACTGGCACCAGGATCTACACTTCCTCCTATCACCTATGGTGACCTCCTATTCAGACCAAGAAATAAGGATTGGATACAAATATGAGCTAGTAAGCTAAGGGCTAGACCTGCAAAATGAGAAAACAACCTATACCAGGAAGGAGCTACAGGACCTAGTCTAGTTGAATGGACAGGACTCAAGGGAGTATGTGGGACAGTGGATCCTCAGATACTGGATTGAGGGAGGAGGTGACAGGACATAAAACTGGACAAGGAAGGGCAAATTGGCAGTGGAGCACTTGCTTATAATAGAGACTAGCATCCTGGTCCTTATAATCCTGTTCATTATCACAACCCCTGTCAAGTAATACCCTCCATTGCTCCTGCTGTACCACATATAGTATCTTTACTAAAGCAGATTAATACAGTCACAAGTTTATGGTATGAGGCCACTGAACTGGTAAATGGATACTTTTCCGTACCTATGAGGAAGGAGGGTCAGAAGCACCCCCAAAACAACAGTATTACCTCAAGACTATGTTAATCCTTTCTCTCACACTCTGTCTTGATGTTTTCTGAAAGGACCTGAACTACACTGTTCACAAGACGAGTGACATCTTGATTGGACCGAATATATACTGAATATACGCTGCTAAGTCACAGAGGGTAGAAGGAAACTTATACAAATAACCTATACAAATTTAGTAATCTGCCAAACTGGTAAAGCTTGTAGGGTCTGGCGGTCCCATGCATACTGTGGTAGCCCCTGCAAAATAAAGGACAAATTATTTCATCTTACATTTCCTATCACCAAAAAAAGGAGAAAAATGTTTGC